ACGAGCTGGATCCGGAGTCGCCATCGTCGTCACACTCGACCCTGACCCCGAGTCAACGCTGGACAACCTTCCATCGAGCACCTCCGCCCAGCCACGACAGCGACCTGGTTCGCAAGCGCGGCAACTGCTACGGAACCTCCGCTCGTACCCTGCTCTGGTCTCATCGCATTCCAGAGACCCTCCTGTCCTTCGTCCGCCGCGCGTCCATCCCTGTGGCGTTCTCGAGTTGATCTCTCTCGTCGATCCCTCGGCAACACCTGAGTGGGGGACTCTCAGCGCCGATGATTCCGAGGCGCGACGCGTGGAGCTCATGATGCGGCGTATGAGGGAGCAGAGAGGTCACATGGAGAAGGAGGCTCGCATGAGCGTCGCGGAGAGGCAGCAAGCCATAAAGACGCGGATGGAGCGCGAGAACCTCCAGAGGCTCGACGATTGTATGTTCTCCTTTCCTATTCCTTTGGACGCAGTGGGCGAGCGCAACAAGCTGACATTGATCCACCCTAGTCCGCGACAAGATGCACGCGGATCTGCAGAGAAAAGAAGCTCGTCTGCTCGAAGCGCTGCAATCACCCAAGTGGACGCCCGCGCAACTGGCGCCCCACGCCCTACGCTGGCTCAAGGAGAACTCGGCATGGGGAAGTATCTTCTCCTCCGTGCCGGTGCCTGAAGTCCCTGTTTCCTGGTCGCTGAAGCCAGTGCTGGGTCCGCTGCTCCACACCATTGTGCTCAATGATGAGCTTTCTTCCCTGCTCGTCGCGGCGCTCGAATCATGGAAGGCATGGTCTGAGAATGGAGGTATGCGACGTGCGGACATTGATGCGCTGATGAAGGATGCCAATGGCGATAGGGAGGCCTTTGCGCTCGCAAGCCTGGTCGCCGCGGGTGTTGGTGAGGCCACGTCTGGAGATGGTATTACGGGAGCAAGGACTGGGGATGCTGTGGGGGCTGACATGCAAGAATGCCTCGGAATGTGGCCAAAGATAAGGCTGGGATGAAAGCAAGTCGACGACTTGACGAGCGGGAGCGTTCCCATTTGATTCCAAATTATGTTTTCGTGATCATTATACTCAAGCATCGTAGTAATAAAACAGTGAGAGATGGTCTTCATAACGACCGTATTCTTCTTTTTTGAGGTGGTGTCGCAGCCTATGCATGCTTCGGTTTCCTTGTAGAGGCCGTGATAAAATCCTGTCCATCTTACCAGCATACGATTATCAAGGATCCCAAACGCCTGTTACCATACTCGCGACCAGTCTTCTGTCCGGACTTTGCTTCGAGAGGTGTATCATGACAGTCAAGAAAATTGAAGTCAGCAGTAGAGATGACCAGGCGAGGTACACAAAATTACGTACGGGCAAGGAGGTCGCAGAAGAAGTTCCACTCCCCGGATCACATTTCAGCGTTAAGAGCTTCACATGAATGTAGTAAGCTCAGCAATCGCGTCTGCCGGCTTTTTCTGTCGACAGTATATCGCAAGGTCCCACGATTCATGATATGAGGGTTCAATTAGATTCCCAGAACCATCCTGGTTGGTTTGCGTTATTGTTTTGTAGTATAGCACAAGAAGCCCCGCTAACGTAAGCCACGGATGGCTCCATTGAGTTGAAGTCGACCGGGATGCGGCCGGAGTATTGGCCGTGAAGTCCTTGCCGATGGATGTATTGGTACTCGGGGGGGTATTGAGTATCGACGTTGCTGTTCTCCGGCGGAGAATAATAAGCTGGTGTCCCCGGACTCAATGTTGCCCGGTATGTTTGGTTTGGCCCACGCTTGCTCTGCTGTCTCATTCTTTGAATGTATGCGAGCGGCATGCCGTCCATGGAGATATCCGTCAAGGTCGAACGATTTAAACAATTAAGGGGCACTTCTTCAGTCAACTCTCGTTCAACGCCGACCTGTTCTGGGAAACTCGATGCAGAAGATGCTGGAGATGGGGGAAAAGTGTAAGACAACGGCGGGAGCGTTTCATGTCTCACTGAACAAACGCTTTCGGCCTGCGTTTGCCTGGTATAGGACTCCCTGTAAGCGTGTCAGCGGCAATTCTAGGTTAAGCTGGATGACGAAATAGTCAGACAGAGAAGCGCGACCGAATCAGAGACGTACAACGATGTATTTGTGTTGCGGTTAAGCTCCTCAATCTCTTGCCTGGATAGCTCGGCATCCTCCCAGAAGTTGCGTGAGCGTTCAATCCCACTGTTGTTACTCAAAGTTCTAGTTGGCGTTATGCTCTGTCCAGTCATGAAGCGGAAGGGAGGGTGTGGCGGGCTCTCCTGCTGGTGGTTCTCAAGCTTCTCGGCGCTGGCCTTTTGGGTCTTGTTCTTGGTGAGAGTATATTTCCCGATACCCCATCTCTTGAATCTTCCTCGGTAGGCTCGTCTCCTGCAAGGTGTGATTTCAGCATTCCATCCAGGACAGAACATGTTTGTCAAATAAAATTGAAAGTCTGGCTTACGATGCTTTGAATTGCCACTCCCTCTCCATTATTTTCATCACCTCGTCAAGCGTCTTTCTGTCATCTTTGTAGAGCTTGATGATCTCGCCCTGGTGCTTGTCCCATGGTTTGCCCATCATACGAGCTAGCCGCCTGCTTGATCTGAAGCCCTGCGAGTCGAAGCACAGGAAAACGTCACGAAGGCGAAAAGTCTGAGCTGGTGCAGCTAAGTTCTCAGAACACCATGCTATAACTGGTAGGCGTAGAAGAATATCAGCCGAAAGAGAAGCCATTTCACTAGAGAACCTATCGCGGTCGAAGCCCCGCCTTATAGGTATGCTAATGATGCACTGCCCGGACAAGGCTACGAGTCACATTAAGGCTGGGCTATCGCACGTCTAGCGAGGCAGCCAAGCAAGCCGGAGACGGGCGTAAAGGATGCAAGCCAGCACCAGCCGCTCAATGTAGTCCGCGCACGAGGCAGCCAAGGTGGCGAACCGATGACCCAAAGCTGGTACTTTCGGTGTCAACGAAAGAGGGGAATAAGAAGGCCCTTCCTCGCCATCTGACGGTCACATCTTTCGATAATCTTTGCCCAGAATGCACCGAGCCTGCATGCCCCCAAGTTCTTCTGCCGAGAAAACGCAGCCGATCTTGTCTATTGGCTTAGGTCTCGTTGAAAAACGCCGTGCAGACGTCCACCTCGAGTAATGGCAAGGCAACCAGCGAGCCATCTCTCCCCTCGCCCAGTTCAGGGCTCGCTCCTTGCAAACAGGGCGGCCGACAGAATGCCAACACACCCATTCCCTCCTCCCCTTCCCTCCATCTCAAGATCAGATCACTTGAAAAGTCTTGTGTAACGCTATTGTATTCGATGGCCACCTCAGGAGTTCGTCGTCAGCTGAAGTCCTTCGCCGTGTCGAATTGGAAGTTGCAGTGGAGTGTCTGGTCCGCGCGCTCAATTCTATGCACCAATTGGAACCACATCATCGGCAGGTGTTTGACCTTGGTGAGCGCCTTGTCATTATCTCTAGCGAGGCAGAATGGCATTTCCTTTCCAAAACACCTACCTGCTGTATATCGCGACCGCATGCCTTCATTGCGAGATCGCACGGCCCGATAACGGCGTGCAGGGCATCACTCTCGATGGTTTGCCTGGGCTTCGCCGTCACACTGCAGTCTTTCCGTCAGCGACTCGAGACATCGCAAACGCGGCTCCGCCGACATGGCCAGCCAGAGCTCCCCCACATCATGTCGTCAATTCGCGGCATCATGAATCAGCAGGCCTAGAATCGGCGATGAAGATCCCTAACGTGGCAATCGTCTACTTCCTTCAGAAGTTCTGAGACATGTCACTAACGACGTGGCCTTCGGTAAGCAACGATTGCTCGATGCGTCTCGCCTGATGATGTCGACAATAGCTTTGATGACCGGGAAAGGATTTAGGTGGGAAGGGGGTTGTCATTGGCGTACACACCGTTCCACAAATACGGGCTTTTGGTTCATTCTGATGACGGATCAAAATATCTGTCACCTAGCACCTACCAGGACACCCTTACAAATGATCTTGATCCGGGCCATCAACCGGACCCGGGTCCAAAGCATCGGGCCGGTAGTAGACTGAGGAACGAAAACGTCGAACAATACGCAAAAGCTGCTTGACAGTATTGAACAGAAACTTGTTGTATTCAAGGTCTTGTTTGTATTATCTACCAGCAACTTCATTACCTAGCTCGTCTGTCAACCCCGCTCCCTACACTAGCTCCTCGCAGAGAGACAAGGCGAAGAGAACAACGCCGCGCTCATCATAAAAAAGTAAAGTAAGTATCACATTTCAAAAGGATGTGTCGAGGTCCATCGTAGTGGATGGTCTGCCCGCCTCACTTTGCACCTTGCCCTAGACCGCATGTAGAGAAGGCGTCGGAGCGAACTGGGCGACCGATCCGCCTCATTTATGACAGAGCCTCAACTTCCTAGAAAGCAGGGGGAGCAGCTCCAGCCTTCTCAGGAGCCGGTGCTGCGGCTGGTGCCGCCTGAGCAGGAGCAGCCTGAGCAGGGGCAGCCTGCACAGGAGGCTTCTCGTCCGCTGCCGCCAGTACTCCAGACTGCTGTGCTTCGTGGCCTGCGACCGGCGAAGTGGGACCTGGCGGCGTGACGGCGGCAAACTTGGCATCCTGATCCACGACGGGCGACGACGGTGACGTCGGCTCTGCGGGACCAGTAGCGCCGGCAACGCCCCTGATAATATCGAACCATCGCTGCGCGTCGGAAGGGGTGTGGGCCTTGAAGGCCAACTCGGCAGTGCCGGTAAGCTTGGCGCTCATGCCGCCGCTGCGATCCTTGCCCTTGACGTTAAACTTTTCGCCAGAAGGAGCGCCAATGATGGCGTCGGGCAAGTAGATTGACAGTTCGGGCTTGGGGTCGACGCGAGCATTATCCGAGTCCTTGAACTCGTGAAGGAACTTGGAAGGTGTGACAACATAGTAGCCTGTCGTGTAGCCCCACGACAGCTTGTTACGCGACTTGCGCTCGAGCGATCCCTCGATGAGGGACTTGGTGGCCGGGTGGGACATGTTGGGGAACTGAATGTCGTCAACAGAGCGGGCGGGGTCGTTGGGGTTGATGAGGCGGTCAGCGGAGCGAGTGGTGAAGCCGCGCCACTCGAAATCGGGCACGACGGATTGAATGGATTGCAGCATGTCGTAGTGCAGGGCGCGCGTCTTCTCGCCCTGGCCGCCGGCGAGGAGGGTGAAAGACTCCATGGCCTGCTGAATGACCTGGACAATATGTGCCTCAAAGGCTTGCGAGTTGTTCTGGACAGCAAGTAGATCATTGCGGTTGTTGTTCTCCTCAATGACCTGCTTGTGGAGGCGGTGCAGGACACCACGGTTGACGACGTAGGGATCATCGGAGCCGTGGATCTTGCCACCAGAGGACTCATAGGATGCGGTCTGTTGACCGAGAAGCTCGATATGCTTCTGAGTGTTGTTGCGGGCCTTCTCGACTTCCTTGGCCGTCTTCTCAACACCGCTGGTCAACTCTTTGCTCTTGGCCTTGATCTCCTTGTGTAGACGATCAAGAACGGGCAGGACAGAGCCCTTGATCGACTTCTCGGTCTCAATGTTGGTGTTGATGAGGGCCTGGGTGTTGGAGCGCATGTTCTCGAAGTAGCCGGCGATTCCACCGAGAGACTGGTCGAAGTGGTGACCCTCCTTGAGAGGGTTCGAGATGGTCTTGAGAGCGCGCTCATATTCCTTAGCCTGAGCGCGGTGAATCTTCTCAATCGCGCCCATGTAGTCCTCGAGATAACCAACGGCATGCTTCCATGCCTGAAGGCGCTCGCCTAGGAGGCCAGCGGTCTGTAGTTTGGTAGTTAGTCTTGGCTTCGAAGAGGAAGCTTTTGAGCGGTAAGGGGAGGGCGTACGCTGGTGGGGTCAGTGTCGGAGATGGCACCATCGTTTGTGCTCGCGGTGGTCAGGCCAGTGGCCGCCCTCGATGGCAGCTCAGTCGGAGTAGCGCTCATAATGTCGGATTTGCCGTGGTGTTGATCGAGTGGAGGAGGTGAGTCGTAGGAGAGAGGAGAGAACCGTTCTTTCCGGGTCAGCAATGCAACGAAGAAATCCGGCAACGATGGCCAAGCAAAGACGACTCAACGAGGAGGAGAGGGGGCATCCAGGGTCTTGAAGCTCATCTCCCAAGCCCCCCATGCCACCTCTTGGCCTCGCTCTTTGGGGCAAGGCGGTGACCTGATCCATCTACGGACGCACCAAATACGACTGGTCCACAACAGCTCGGGCGCCCGGGCCAACAACCCCTCCCTCCCCTTTGCGAGTGCCTGCCCCCATCTTCCCTGCGCTGATCTCTAATGAAGAATGAAGAGGGGTGTGATTCGAGTCGATACTTACAGGATACGCTCGTAGGCAAGAATGATTCAACTGTTGGTGATGAATTACGATTAATAGGTAGTACGTGTCGAAAGGAGGCCGCCTGGTTGCAGTCGATTTCAAAAGACCAGACAATGTCGAAACTCTGTTCCTCCCGCTCGACGACAGAGGGGCAGACCAACGGCCACTTAAATTGCTCGCGCCAGAACCCTGGATGACGTCAACACGTCCCTCCATTGCCTTCCGACTCTCCCTTCCTCATGCCCTTGGCCAGCGCTAACAGCAGATCGTCCCAGGTGAACCATGCCAACCCATGTCGCAACACCACCAGAACCCTCAGCTGTACAAGCTTTGTGATCTGTGTGGCTTGCTCTAGCCTCCAGCTTTGGTCGACATGTCCGCAGGTTTTGCCCCGGACCACCAATCCCCCGGTGGCCAAAGAACGGGGTCGCCGCGACGGTCCCTGCTCTGCTGGGATTCTTTCCACGATGGCTGCCCTGGAAAGCGACGATCACGCCGCGGCGATGGGGTCCAACAATGCATGCAGGGCACAATTGTGTGGCTTAGACATGAAATTCAGTTCCTAACTCAGGGGATCTCCCTCACGAATATGTCAGATAGAGAAAAAAAAAGATAGAAAGAGAGAGAAGGAGAGAGTGAGCGAAGGGTAAGGCTTGCAACGTATACAGGAACGCCAAAACTTGTCGCTGCTAGCAGCGTCGGTGGAACAACCTAGTCTGAAATGACAGTAAAGACACCACACCGCTCTTCCCAGAGCCGCTTCGCAGCAACGACCTCCTCGCTGTGATGGAGCACCATCGAGTTGGTGATGACCCACGCATGTGCCGCCATCCCCCGCCTCGGAGAGTTACTCAATCCCGGGCGTGCTGTATCATCGCCGGTAATTAGTTTCCAGTCCGCCACCTCGTTCGTCACCGTCCGAAACAATCTCGCCATGTCGCCGCCCTCGTGATGGCTATTTGCCTGTAGCCAAACGTTGTACAGATCTCGTTCAAAGTACGCATACAGATCCACCGCCGTCTGGGGACAATCCAGCTGCTCCGTGACGGGCCCGCTGCTGAACGCCCAGATGATGTCCGTCAGCGCCGTCAAGACTCCCTCGCCGTAAGGGCTCACGTCTGCGAGTTGGAGGTGGTTTGTCTTGGTGAAGAACTCTTCGGGAAAGAGGGACAGGATTCGAGAAATCGGTTGCCATGCCTGCTGCATGGCGCGGACGTCATGGGGATTCGCACGGCAGGCCTCGCGAGCCGCCAGGCTCTTCCTGAGAAGAGTATCGATTCTGGACCATTTCGCTGCGTCGAGATTAGAAGTCATGGTCACTCGGCCGGGGAGGGGGGAACAGTGTCGCCCTTCAGATTGGAAGTAATTTCAAGTGAAGCTATCAGTAAGCAACGAGGGAGCAAGGTGATGGATACTCTGGAGCTGATATGGCATCGACGACGAAGCCTGACTGCATCCGTGCCAGCAGCAAGCCTGATCCTCACGAAAGCCACCTCTCATCAGCAAGGCTCTCAGGCTCCCGAGTAACACACATTCGATGAAGCCCAAGTATGCTGGCAAGCACCCATTGGCCCGAAGAGATGCATGGCACCAGCTGATTACCCGACGGCTCCCTTCATTGCCTGTTGACGACGACAGTAAGCATGACCTGCGAATCCACGAGATACGCCATGTCATGCAATCAGGCCCATGCATGTGACATTTGCGCATACTCCACTCTATCGACCTGACAATCCACACTTCATGACTAATGAGTCAGTGTGCTTGATGAAATAGGGTCCAGCAATCGCGCATGGCGATCATCTCATTGCGACGTTTCATGACCACGGCAGTTCACGCCGCATAGGCTTGTACGAAGGATACACGCATTCGGTTTGACCCGATCGTTTCAAGATGCGATCGCGCCGCCCCCTATGCGCCATCATGAGACGAACCTGTGCACATCTGCTCACCGGGACTCTAAGTACATCCCCGCTGTGCAATACCGGTTTGTTCGATTTGCGCAGCACGTAAAGAGGGACTGTGATCAAGGAAATAAGCTTCGTTGGTATCTTCGCCTCAAGGCATTTCTTGGCTAGTACAGTAATATCGCTCGGAAATCCTAGGGACCCCCAGCAGTTCTTCTTTCGCCGGATAATTTCCTGAAACTTCCGCGCCCCATGCCCCAGCAAGGCAATTGTGAGGAAAAAACAAACGCCTCAAGGCCTCCTTCTACTTGGCGGCTCTATTAATCATCCAGGCCACCGGGTCCCCACGGATAATCCCAAACGCCGAACCATGCAATTCCAATAACCTTGCTTGTGATCCCGAAATGATG